TACCCAGCCCCACCCACAGCCCAGCCTCTCCCCCAGCATCTGGGCCTCTCACCAGCTGCAAGGGCTCTGACAGGGCCTTGGCCTCCAGCGCCTCGGCCAGCAGCTCGTGCTGGGTTTCGCTCAGCGCTGGGGAGAGACCTGGGATAAGAGGGGCTCCGAGAGGCCCCGCTGAGAAGCCCACCCCCGGCCCCACCTGCCCAGCCCTGGGCCCCTCACCAGCCAGGGCTTCCAGCAGGTAGGAGATGGGGCCGGCCAGTTCCTCCACCAGCGTCCGGTCAGGGAGCACCAGGCACTCGAGGATGTCGCCCGCGGGACCCTTTAGGGGCTCCACCCGCCCGCAGCACAGGTCCTGCTCCAGCTGCGGGCACAGGGGGGGCCGTTTAGCCCGCTGGCCAGGGCAGACCCCGCCCCCTGAACCCTCACCCCAAGGGCTGCTCACCGACTCCTCCAGGGCTTCCAGGGCCGGCTCATCCTGCAGCACCTGCCTCAGGCCCCTCAGCAGCTGCTCGCACAGCTGCCTGGACAGGCTCTCCAGGCGCTGGGCCCAGGCCCTCACCTCCGCCTCCAGCCCCGGGAAGTCCTCCGTGGGTGCCTGCCTGTCATCCTCCAGCCCATCTGTGGGGACAGGACTGGCACTGCCTGGGTGTCCACAGGGCCGAGAGCCCTGTTCCAGACGGGGAGACCCCCAGGAGGAAGAGGGGGAGCCCACCAGGTGCCCCAGGCCTGGGCAGGAAGGTACTGACCTCCTATGCAACTGAGTTGCTTAGCTATGGACCATATGGAGAAGCGGCGGGACTGGCTGCTTGCTCCTCCGGGAAGCTGGTTGCCTGGCTGGGCAGAGCTTGTCAGCACAGGGCGCAGCCCGCCCCCCCAACACCCCAACACTGGAGCCCAGGGCAGGGGCGAGGCCGTGTGTGTGTGTGTACAAGCCCCTCTGCAGGCTCCCGGCTGCCCCATGCTGTGCAGGAGGTGCCTCAGCAGCTGGGAGCCTGCCCCATGCCCTGGCCCGGCTGGGGGTCCCTGGGCCTCACCTATTGGGGGCAGCTCAAAGGTCCTCTGCTTCTTGTCGGGGCTGAAGAGGATGTCTGGCGGCCGGGGGGGAGCGGAGGTGGGGGGCAGGTTGGCCGAGGCTCTGGCCTTCCCCTCACCCACTGGGGCTCCCCTCACCATCCCTCAAGTGCACCCCAACCTCCCACACACCAGAACCCAGGACCCTCGGCCCCCCGACCCAGAGAGCTGCACAGCCAGATGCCTGCACCCCCACAGCCAGCGTGGCTCTTCCCAGGCCTCCCTGCGTCTTCGCCACGGAGTCTGGGCCCAGAAGTCACCCCGAGCCCAGCTCACCCCAGCCCGACCCAGTGATGACCAGCTGGGCCACCTGGAACGCGAGGATGCTGCCCGCGGGGATGGTCACGGTCCTCTTCCGACTCAGGTGGCCCTCGCCCTGGCCCTGGCCCTGGGGGCAGAGCTGGGCTCAGAGCTGCTGGGTTCGGATCTGCCTGGCACCATGCCCTGCCCTCCCCCGCCCTGGGCAGGGCCCATCCCACACCTTTAAGCACATGGCTCCCGGCAGCACAAACTGGCCCGAGCCCTCCTGCCGGCGGGTCCGGGTGACCTCCACCTCCTTCTGCGTCTGCAGCACCTCAGTCACCACGAATACGTCGTCCCCGCGGCTGCGCAGCTGCTGCAGGACCTTGTGCTCCTGCTGCTGAAGGTGCCTGTGCCGAGGGGGGTGGGCAGGAGGTTAGGGGTGCACCCACTCCACACCCCGCCCAGGGACCTGCCTTCCTCCCCACCCTCCACCTCTGTGTCCCCCGGCAGGGATGACAGGGGGCAGGCGGCTGAGGGGACCGGGAGTTCCGGGAGGCCCAGGTCCTGGTGGGGGTGCGGGTGCGGGGAGGAGGGACGAGGCCCGGCACGGACACGTGCACACCCCTCCCCCGGCGGCTCACAGGCTGCTCTCTCCCTCCACCCCTTGAGTTCACGTTTCGGTCTCCACTCTGAGGTAACACCCCTCCCCGTGTCCCCGTGTCCGCTCCCCCCAGCAGCCCTGCCTCCTCTGTGACCTGGTCCCCTGACTTCTGCGGCCTCCCTCCCTGTGCCGGTCCCAGCAGCCCCTGCCTGGGCCTCCCCTGCACCCAGCACAGACCCCCGTGACCCCGGGCTACGTGGGGTCCGCAGGGCCTGCCCCAGGTTTGGGGGCTCACCTCTCCTGGAGCATGGCCACCCAGGTGTTGGGGTCCACCCGCAGCGTGCACACATTCATGGAGGTGCTGGAGCTGCCGGACACGGAGGCCCCGCCCGAGAACCCGCCCTGCCCTGCGACGCTCAGCTCCACGCGGCCCTGCAGCTGCCCATCCACCGCGTCTTGGAATTGGTAGGGACCGATGCACTGGACGGCTGGAACGAGACCGGAGCTGAGGCCCCGCCCGCCATGCCCACCTGCCCCGCGGGGGAACCGGACCTTTGAAAAGGAGCCGCCCTCTGGGGTCACAGAGCCTGAGGCCCAGGTGGCTGGGCCGGTGGGGGTGCATCCGGGTCCTGGACCACAGGCTCCGCCCCCGGGGCCCACCCTCGGTACCTGGCTCGGGGTCATCTGGCTCCAGGATGTCCTTGATGGACAGGTTGATGCCCTTGTAGCGGGGCCTCCAGAACGGGGAGCCGGGGGGCCTCCTGGCCAGCAGGCAGTAGGGCCGGAAGCTGGTGGAGCTCCGCAGGCTGTCCACCGGGACCAGCTCCCCGCGGCGGTCCAGCTCCTGGACCACGCTCTTCACCACCCGCTCGAAGGCGGACATGCTCCCCGGAGGCGGCGGCCTCGGGCTGGGACAGAGGGGAGGGGACAGTGGGCGCCTGGATGCCTCCGAGGACCGGGCGCTGTTCCCTCCGAAGCCACCGCAGGGTCAGTCCTGGGCGCTCTGACTGGTAGGACCCAGCACGGAGAGGGACCGAGTCCTGCCTGCCGCCCCCTCCCTCCCTCCAAGGAGCCAGGAGCCCCTCCGGGGACCGTCTCCCACAACCCTCAGGGGGCCGCCCTGGACAGTCAGTGATGGGGGCGGTCAGCTTCGGGTCACACAGCCAGGCCTCCATCATTTTGTCGGCCCGACGCGGCTTAGGGCCACCCCGGAGGGAGGGCAGGGCAAGGCAGGGGCCTTGGGGTGACCCCAGACTGATGCTCTGTCTGCTGTAGCCACTGCCTCCCTGGCTGAGGTGTTCAATGGGTTGGGGTGGGGGAGGGAGGAGGGGGAGAGGGGGAAACAGAGTCACCGCCTCCCCTGAAAGCCAGGCCCTGTGTCCTGAGCCTTAGGAGCCACTTGTCTAAGGCTGAGGCTTCAGGGCTTAGAGACCCAGGCAGACCTGGGCCCCAGGCAAGGGCCCCTCCAGGGCCGGCCTGAATCAGAGGGGCCAAGGGGCGCCTGGAGGGCCCACCGCAGTCTGGCTGGTGAGGGGGCCACTTCCCAGGGGCCCTGGGCTTCCCCTGGTGGGCCTGGATTGGGGGGAGTCCTTAGAGGGGGCTGGGACCAGGTTGTTGTCCCAAGGGTCGGCACCCCTGACCCAGTGTGAGCGAGCAGGGCCACCCAGGTGCCAGGGGGACGCGGGGCAGCTCACCGTGACCTTGACCTTGGTGCCCAGGTTCCGGGGGCGCAGGAAGCGACGTCGCTGGGGCTGGGCTGCCGGGCTGTGCTCTGGAGCCGCCAAAGCAGCGCTCAGCCGGCCGCGGGCTCAGGACCCAAAAGTGAAACCTGCAGACGCGGCTGGGACCGCCAGTCGCTGCCGGAAATGACCAGGGGCCTCGCCCACCAGCTGAGCTTCCAGGCGGTTTCTTTCCAAATGTCTGTGGCACGCAGACAACAAGCACATCAGACCGCGGTGAGGGGCGCTCACAGGCGCCGGGGGTGCCGGTAAGAGCCGGGGAGGGAGCCGGCACCGCCAGCTCTGGGGACAGGAGCCGGTGGCACGCCCCAGCCAGTCCTTCCGGGTGTGGAGTCAGGAGATGAGTCCCTCCACGTCAGCCTGCACATGGGTGTAGATAACAGAGGGACAGAGGGACACAGACCCCCCCCCCCCTGTCAGCCACGCACCCTGGAAAGGAGTGAAGTTCTGGTGCCCGGACAGCAGGGGGGAACTCAGACCACCACCCTCCGTGAGAGGAGCCAGCTCAGGAGCCAGCAGGAGAGGCCACACACACTGCACGTAGCGGGTGTGTGTGTGTGAGTGAGACAGCTGGGAGGGGCGCGTTCCCTTGGGGTGATGAAAACGTTCTAGCCGACTGTGGTGAGGGTTGCACAACCGTGAGGATGCTGACACCCACGGAGTCGCGCACTCTCCGCGCAGGAATGGCGAGGCACTTGAGTCCTCCCCTAAGGAGGCGGTTACCCAGCCGGCAGACGGCACTACCAGCCACACAGGCTCCTCCCGCCCTGGGTCATGGGTCAGGAGCGAATCCTGTCTGGGCCAAGGCAGCGGCCTGCACCCCTCCTCCTGCTCCGCACCTCGCCTCTCGCCCTGAACCCAGAGGACACTGGGGAGGCTGCACGGGGCTGCTGGCTGACACTCACCCCAACAGCGCTGCACACTCCTCCACCCCATCAGCACCTGTGCCAGGTGCCCATCCGTGAGGGCTGTCGCTGTGAGCCAGAAGGTGACTTCCTGCCCTGGCCTGTTGCAGCTGCAATGACTGGAAAGGCCGATTCAAAGGAAATGTTGTCGCCTGGCTGGCGTGGCTTGGTGGTTAAGTGTCGACCTATCAACCAGGAGGTCACGGGTTCAACTCCCTGACAGAGTACATGCCCGGGTTGCAGGCTCGGTCTCCAGTGTGGGGCTTGCAGGAGGCAGCCGATGGATCGATGTTTTTCTCTCATCATTGATGTTTCTATCTCTCTCTGCCTCTCCCTTCCTCTCTGAAATCAATAAAAATGTTTTAACCCCCCTCCACACACACACACAAAGGAAACAATGTCTTGTGCAAGCAGAAGTCCCCAACTGCTGGGTACCCTGGGCAGGACACGGGCAGGCAAGGCCCTGGGGGTGGGCAGGCAGGGGGCTGGCCTGCTCCGGTGCCTGCCTGTGGTTTCTCCTCCTGCTGGGGGCCGAGGGGGCAGGCCTGGGGCTGAGCGCGGCCAGCTGAGGGCCTCTGGGGCCGGGTGCCCGTCCAGCCTGGTGAGGAGCTCCCGGCTCTGGTCCAGCCCCTGGTGGAGGGGACATCCTTGCTGGTGGTGGCAGGAGGCTCCAAGAGCCTGAGTAGGGCTGAGTGTGTGTCCACATGTGTCCATGTGTGCATGCTGTACGCGCACACATGCATGTGTATTCATACGTGTGTTGTTTGTATGTGCATGTTTGCATGTGCTGTGTTTGCGTGTGTTGGGGGCTGCATGCTGGTCCCACCGGAGGGTCCGACTCCTCCAGCTACACCTGCTGCTCCCTGTTTCCCAGGCAGAGCTCTGTGTGGCCGGGTGCAGTGGGCAGGCTCCAGGCCACGGTCAGGTCAGGAGGGCAGCCTCCTCAGGGGTGACCTGGCCTGGGCTTCCAGCAGGGGTGTGACCAGCGTGGTCATTTTTCTGCACGGCCTCACTGCTGTGGGAGAACTGGGGGGAGGGGGCACAGAACCTTGGTCTGAGGCAGAGTGCCAGGCAGGTGCCATCCACGTGGCAACGGGGGACAGCATGGCACACTGTGCCCACCTGCCTTAGGCAGTGCCCTCGGCTGCCACAGCCCAGCTGGGTGGGCAGGACCGGGCCTGGCCCACGCCATTTATGGCCGTATCTGCTCCTTAGTAACAACCCAAACAAGAAGCACCGGGCTGGCCAGGGCTGGTGTTGCCTCCGCCCCCACTCACAGAGGACAGCGTGTGCGTGTTGTGTGTGTGTGTGTGTGTGTGTGTGTGAGCCCCAGAGGCAGGAAGTGAGCCGCTGGGGAGGAAGGGAGGAAGTGCACGGGGCTGGGGTGCACTCCATCCTCCTAGGCCCGTGGCCCCGGCCCATGGCAGGGAGGCAGCCAGAAACCCTGGGGCACACGTCCTCCCCCCCCCCTTGTTATGTGGAGGTGGCGGGTTGCCCAGGGCAAGGTCCGGCCACCTGGGTGGGGTGTGGAGCGGGGGAGGACACTGTGTCCCGGGACTGGGAGGCTGGGAGGTGGCTGCTGCGTGTGCGGGGGAGGGGAGCGCCGCTCCGAGCGGGCCTAAGGGAGAGGAAGCCCCTGCCGCTGGC